CCAATCCTTCGCTAGATGATTGTGATAACATTATCCAGCCGCCTACGGAGTATCTGTCTTGCCTGGCTGGCTTGCCGAACAACCTCCTCGTGGTGCCAGCTGGGTGGTTCGGGAATTTTCCCGTTCCGGCGAATGGTTCGGCGGCAGTGTTCCAGGACGTGGTGGGTTTTCGCCTGGCAAGCGTTCTCCCTATAAAAAGCCACATATGTCCGTTTAACAACACTGTGACGTGGCGGACGTGACTCGCCACTAAATAAAGTCACTGCCCCTTGCTTCATCCTGGCGAAGCATTGTATTCCAGCAAGTTGATGCTGTACTTCTGGGGAGCATTGGGCCCCTGTTTGGCAAAGGAACAAACGAAAGGCGTATGAACTGATCAATCAGTCACCGGCTCCCAATGGGCGCGATTCCCTGAATTCGCTCCGCTGCCTTGCGGACAGGCTATTCAGCCAAAGGCTCGGGGTGGTGTCCCCTAAGTCAACACCCTACTTCGGCTTGGGCGACCGGGTAGTATTTCGCCCTCTGACGAAACCGTGGACATTGTTGTGTTGTGTTATGTTTTCTTTTACTATTTCTGTACCTTGTTTTGAGTTCCATGGTTTCCGATGGTGCAATGTCTATTCATAGACTGTTGCAAATATATATATATATATATATATATATATATATATATATATATATATATATATATTTGTCTTGCCTTACAGCTCCACAGGTCTGTTACGACCTCATTTACGCATTGAACGCGGAAGAACTCGGAATCCTCAACCAGACGCGTACTACAGATGGAACTGTAGCGCGCCGAAGTGATGCTACAGCAAGTCAGCAGGTAAGATGTCGGCCGGTGGCCGAGTAGTCTGCACGCCTGGCTTGCAATCACAAGATCATCGGTCCGATTCCGCTTAGTGGCGGACATCCTCGCGGTATACTTAGTCCGCGCGCGACTGGTGGGGGTCGCGCGGCAGCGAAATGCTGTTAAGGCGTACAGCTGATGATTATTTATTATTACTAAGATGTGGCTGGCTTGCCGAACTACCTCGTGTTGCCAGCTGAGCGGTTAGGGTGTACCTCGTTCCAGCGAAATGTTCGGCGATAGTCTTTTACCTCGATGGGGCATTATAGTCCAGCAACTGTGCTGATTTCATGGGGAGTATTAGCCCCTGTTTGGTGATCTATCTAACGAAAGACCTATGAACTGAACATTCAGTCGGCGATTCTCAATGGGCGCGATTTCCGCAATCCGCCCCGCTGCCTTACAGGTAGGTTCTTTGGCCAAAGACTCGGGGTGGGGTATCCTAAGTCAACTTCCTACTTCGGCTTGGGCAACCCGAGTAGCGTCACGCTTTCTCACAAAACCATGGACTGTACTACAACCTGCTCATCAGCGACTTCATCACACGCCAGTTATTTGCTAACAATCCTTAACATCCGTTACCTGGTTCCTTTGTTCAAAAATCTGGCTGCGATTCCGGTCGCGCCGCGAACCATGGAGTTCAACCTATGACTCTCCTTCAATCTTCGTTCTGTCTGGCGTGCTTCAACGTACGGACACGCATGCAGATTGGACAGCAAGCCGGTCTAGCGCGCACCGTAGAATCCCTCGATATTGATGTCTGCTGCCTTTCAGAAACTTGATTGCAAGATCCCAGCATTGTGCTTACATTGACGTCCCCCACTGACCACAAAGTTAGCTATCACCTACGTCTTTCTGGAGATACAGAAGCAGCCTTAGCGAGTTTGACTGGTGTAGGTAGGTATAGCACTAAGTGGCAAGACGGAGGCGGCACTACTGAACTGGTTCCTGATAAACAGCCGATTGTGTGCAGTTCGGCTTCGGGTTCATGCGGAATCAACAAGCGCCGCGAGGACAGACGCAACTTGTTTGTGCTCTTTGCGTACGCTCCAACTGCAGTAGTGGCTCGGTCAAGGATGAATTCTACCTGGATCTACATCAGCTCTTGACTAACGCTAAAATGTCGGATGTCCTTGTCCTTGCTGGGTCTTTTAAAACACGTGTTGGCCGCCTGTTACCATACGAGCGCCACGTTGGTGGTCACCACGCACTCGATGAGGACCACTCCGATAACAGAGTGTGGCTTGTCACATTGTGCGAAGACAACCATCTGTTTCTCTCGAACACTAACTTCAAGCGTACGAAGAAGCCTTCCGCAACGTGGCGTCCCCGTTCACAAACACAACCGTGGTCTCAAATTGATCACATTGCAATTAGCTTTAGATGGCGTGGCAGCGTACTGGACTGCAGGTCCTTCTGGTACACGTTCGTTGACTCAGATCAAGCACTGGCCTGCGCGAAAATCTACATGTGTTTTGGGGGTCCCGAAACACGAATCACCGCAATATTGAGGTAAACAGATTAACTGATTCTTCTGTCCAGGCGAACTATCAGTCTTCACTGTCATAGGCACTCAGTTACCATCCACTGCAAGACAGAGCAACATTGGACTTGTATACAGAAAGCGATGACTATTTCCGGACAGTCAACCTGCGGCCATGCTCGAGGCCCCTTAGACATTTGGATATCTGCTCGTTCTCTAGAGCTGTTCGAACGTCGCAAAGATATCCCGGCGGAATCAGATTGCAACGAGTAGCGCCCTACTGCCAACTGGCTGATCAAGCAAAGCCTACGCAAGGATCGCGAGGCGTACCAACGTATGAGCGTGCTTTAGAGATGGAGACTACTACATTCTCTGGCAACACTCGCATGCTTTTCCAACTCATTCAGTCCACTGGCCTCATGAAGCCTGGTGTCATTGAGGTTAGTTGCGAGGTGGATGAGTCTCCGATCACAAGCCAACAGAGGCATATGGACCGCTGGGTCGAGCATTTTCACTCGCAGTTCAACTGACCCCAACCCGTCCATCAGTAAATGCAGTACATGTTGTTGTCCACCCTGGCTCATCCCACTGAATCCACTCAGCGAAACGGAAGTCTGCTTTGACATTTGACGCTTGAAGCGGTTTAAGGCTGACGGCTCAGGCGTACTTCCTCCGGAGCCGTTCAGATACGACGACGTGGTGATCATTAACTAGCTGACTTCGCTGTTTGCAAAAATCTGGCATGAAGGGAAAGTGTCTTCCTCTTGGGTTGTATCAGTTATTGTACCGATTTTCAAGAAAGGCGCTCTTACTTCGTGTGTAAATCATCTTGGTATTAGTTTTATTTCGGTTGCCTCCAAGCTATTGGCATCCACACTTCTTCGTAGACTATCCCCAATACGTGAATCATCCTACCGCGAAGAACAAGCTGGTTTTCGTCCCTTCCGTGGATGCGTGAATCAAATCCTCACTCTCCGCCAACTCATCGAACATCGACATTTATCGTAGGCCCACTAACGTTACATTCCTAGGCATACGTGCCGCTTTTGACTCCGTAGATCGACCTGCTTTATGGCGTTGCTTGCTAAAGAACGGGGTGCCAGAAAAATATACCGTCATCTTTACCTCTTTACCTTCATACCCCCGGCAGGGTCTATGGAAAGCTTTCCTCGCAATTCGCTGTCATCAGCGGTGTGCGACAGGGCTACCCTATGTCCCCACTCCTCTTCAACTGCGCAATCGAAGACGTTCTGTCGAGTGCTCTAAAAGGTTTCCAACATTTTGGCCTAGAGCTTCTACCAGATGAGCGCGTGACCGGCTTAGATTATACTGATGATATCGCCTTAGTTGGTGACGATCCTCAGGGTGTGCAACTCATTCTAGGTCGTTTGGTGGTTGAAGCATCTCAGTATGACATGAGCTTCGCCCCATCGAAATGTAAAGTACCGCTACAGAATTGACTTACACTTGCTCCCGTGTTCACCCTCGAAGGTGCACAACTTGAATAGCTAGGTAGTTTCGTCTACCTTGAGAGTTGACGGGACTATCAACAAAGAAGTTTCCGTTCGCATCGCTAAAGCCCGATCAACATTTACAAATCTGAGGCACTTGTGGCATCGTCGCGACGTCTCATTCTCGCTGGAGGGCCGCGTTTACAGCGCATCTGTTCGTTCAGTGTTGTTGTATGGGTGTGAGTCCTTGCCGATTCGCGTGGAAAACATGTGTCGTCTTTCTGCCTTCGATAACGGTTGCTTAAGGAGGATCGCTCGTGTTCGGTGGCAATATCGTGTTCACAGTGATGACGCTCGACGTCGCATTTTGGGGAATGCGAGTATTCCGTTCAACAAACTGGTATTTCTGCGCCAGTTGAGATGGCTTGGTCACGTACTGCGCATGGCATCCGAGCCTCTACCGCATCGCGCTCTATTCGCTCGTCAAGGACTTGGCTGGAGGTGACCGCGTGGTGGTCAGCCTTCCACTTGGCGACAGCACATGAATTCGCTGACCTCGTGTCTAGTCGCTGTTGGACCAGTATGTCTTCCAGGATGGTGACCCAAAGATGGGGAGTGCCAGTGGCTTAACACTCTTGAAGACATGGCCAGCAACCGGAAGCAGTGAAAGAATTGTACACAGAATTGTATTGATTCACATCTTTGATACTTCAAACATTGAAAATGACAAAAAAGAGAAAAATCGGCATGTGCAAAACAAACCAAAGATCTTTTGTTCTACTTGTCAAAATTTTCCTTTCTTCCTGTGGCATAGTAGCTGAAGTGTGTTGCTCACCTTCAACTACTATGCCACGATGATTATGACGCAGTGACTTCCCCTTATCTGCTAATCTCCATGACTTTGTTGGCTCTGTCTGGTTGCTATACTGTTAAGCAAAAATATTAAGATGTGATGGGTAGCCTGAATTGTGGTTGTTGTTTCCTCTTTGCCTTCCCATTTCGTCTTCAGTATCGTTGGAGCAGCAATCTCTCGTGCATGTTTTTACGACATCCATCCAGTCACCTCACATTCGGTCCTCCATCAGCGGCTGTGACAATGCCGTCAAGGTCGCCACCGAGTGTAACACGGGCACACCTTCCATCCAGTTCCGACTTCTGCTAGGTGGTTGTGTTGTAACTGCCCAGCCGCCTATAAATTACCTTTTGCCTTTCAGCCCCTCCGTCTATTGCGACCCACTTACGCCCTGGGCACGGGAACCCTCAGAACCTTCAACCAGACGCATACTGCAGGCACGCATCAATGGTGGATGATTCTGCGGAGTTCCAACGTATCGTACGCGATCGTTACCGAAACGGCGAAGACCTGGAGGAGGATGTGAAGAAGTTTCAACTGGCGACCGCGACATCCTTTTATAAATCATCGGTTGTGACACGGACACAGTACGAGCGAAGGTACGGGAAGGAGCTACCGGAGGGGTTCGCTTTCCAATATGTACAGTTTCGTTGCGTTCATAGCACACGAAAGAGTGTCCGCGGAAAGCGGTAAGTCACTTATTTTAAGTCATGATAAAACATTTAGATACCGAGATTATGATTGCAGGGCAAGGTTTTCCTTCATGTTGAAGGACTTTTGGTACCAACGAGGGGAGTTCAACTTAGTGCACAGTCATGAATTCGATGTGGGTAATCCTTGGTTGTATGCTGGCAACAGGCGGTTGACAAAGGCCGAAGAGATCCAAGTTTGTGACCTCATGGACACGTTTAATAATACCCAAATGGTGCGTCAGTATGTTGCCAGCCAGTATGGTCGACACCTTAACCGTTCAGATTTGTGGTCAATAAAACGGCGTCACATGAACCGGAGATCAGAGGACGTTTTAGAAGAAACTACTTTGCCTGAGCAAAATGATATATGTCGACCTTCTGTGCCAAAACCAACTGTCGCGGACTTCCCTGTCGACGTGCCAGATGTTGAAAATGTGACGGTGGGAGAAAAGGATAATGTGCACCACTTAGCTCTGACCGACCGAGCCATCAAGTTACATACTGCAGAGCAGGTGATGGCAGAAGTAACCACGCGACTGTGCAACTTGGAAGGCGCAATGTATCAACAGCTGCTGCAGTCATTCAAACTACTGGGCGAGTTAATGTCGGCGGAAACCGAAGTAAATCTTTACTGCAAAACCCGTCACAGTGCAGAGCCGCTTCCTCTTAACAACACTAGTGATTTACTACGGTTGCAGGGAAAGTCGCCACAGACGTTGGTGCCGCGTGTGAAGACGCAGGACGGAGTTTTGCTGCCGAGCAGTAGCAAGAACAACGCTATGGAAAACGGAGGTGACAACACAGGTTTGTGCATTCTCAAACCCGACGACGAAGTGTGGCCAAAAAACCCTGAACCAGTAAGTAAAAGAAAAGCTCCACTTGTACAACGTGTCACCGATATTCCGGCTAGTACTGCTCCTGCTGGAATCAGATTTTTGCGTCTGAAGAACGCAACCTCAACTAAGGATCGAGGGGGCACTCATAGTAAGCGAAGAGTAGCCACTCATTCGGCTGCTTTGCAAAATGGTGTATGCAGAGCCTGTTCTCAGGCTGACGATCCGATGCAACAATGTGCGGCGGTCAGTTGGGTGCTGTGCGATGTTTGTGGCTCTTGGTTCCATCAGAGCTGTGCCGGTTTCCAAGGGAAAGAACCCTTCACATGTGCATTTTGCAATACTTAACGATATATCAGGAATGACGGTTTTAAGGGCTGTCAATCCATAGCAAAAGGTAAGGATCCGTAACATTTACACTTTCAAGTTTATTGTGTTTTACAGGTATCGGGATCAACTTTGCATTGGTCACTTGCCTTTTCCGTGTATTTACCACAAGCCTCGTCAGCAGCACATCATGCGCTAGCAAGCCCGCGAAGGTAAGGATTGACTTATACCGATCTACTTCCTAGATTTGCGCCGGACGTGTGCACATTGATTTTTTGTATGGTCAACCGGTTTGGCGTTTCCAACTTTTACCTTAACACAATCATTGCCATTTGGGGTACCTTTCCAAGTGAGGTACACAGTGTACTCAGCGTTGTAGTCATGTGATTAAGTGCAGCGTACATGACACGCGCATTCATTTTTTTACGTTTTATTCAGAGCAACTGCTTAATGCAATGTAAATAAGAAACATGTGTTTGACAAAGGTGAACAAAGAAGCGTTTGTTGATGAGGCACATTCGATTTGTACTTTCACTTATCACTTTAAATGTGAATAAATGAGTTTATCTTAAACTCAGCTACATCTTGCATCGGCCTTCGCGCAGTTACAAAGAGTCGGCTTATTTGTTGCGCACAGCAGGGCAGCTAAACGAGAACATGCTGCTGCTAGCGTCTCTTTCCCGACTTTCTTTTGCCGCCCTCCCTACCTGCATTTATAACGTTTCTTCTAAACTCCTCAGCTTAATTGATGGCAGCATCTGCCATATGCAGTGTTCCAGGACGTGGCAGGTTTTCGCCTAACAAGTGTTCTCCTTATCATAGCCATATATGTCTAACATCACCGCTATTTGCGGATGTGACTCGCTACCAAATAAAGTCACCGCCCCTTGCTTCATTCTAGTAGAGCGTTGTATTCCAGAAATCACGCTGAAATCGTGGGGTGGTTTAGGCCCCTGTTTGGTAACACAGCAGATGAAAGGCATATGGACTGATCAATTAGTCGCCGGCTCCAAACGGGCGTGATTCCATGAATTCGCCTCGCCGTCTTTCGGGTGTGATAGCCATAGTCTCGGAGTAAGCTCCTCTAAGTTAGCTTCCTACTTCAGCTTGGGCGACCGGGTAGTATCACGCCCTTTCGTAAAACCATGGGCTGTTCTACAACGTGCTCATCTGCTACCGTTTCTGCTTCTTGCATTCACGCGACTATCACACGCCGATTGTTTGTTTGCCAGCAATCCTTACCATCCGTTACCTGGTTCCTTTGTTCAAAAATCTGGCTGCGATTCCGGTCGCGCCGCGAACCATGGAGTTCAACCTATGACTCTCCTTCAATCTTCGTTCTGTCTGGCGTGCTTCAACGTACGGACACGCATGCAGATTGGACAGCAAGCCGGTCTAGCGCGCACCGTAGAATCCCTCGATATTGATGTCTGCTGCCTTTCAGAAACTTGATTGCAAGATCCCAGCATTGTGCTTACATTGACGTCCCCCACTGACCACAAAGTTAGCTATCGCCTACGTCTTTCTGGAGATACAGAAGCAGCCTTAGCGAGTTTGACTGGTGTAGGTAGGTATAGCACTAAGTGGCAAGACGGAGGCGGCACTACTGAACTGGTTCCTGATAAACAGCCGATTGTGTGCAGTTCGGCTTCGAGGTTCATGTAGAATCTACAGGCATCGTGGGGATAGACGCAACTTGTTTGTGCTCTTTGCGTACGCTCCAACTGACTGCAGTAGTGGCTCGGTAAAGTATGATTTTTGTCGGGCGCTTCATCCGCTCTTGTGTAACACAAACACATCGGATGTCTTCCTTGTTGTCGATTTCAACTGCGGCACAATAACAGGTGTTTTCCACTTCGTGTATAGTAACAGTAATAATAATAATAATAGGATTTTAATGCACGGGTTGACCGTCTGTTACCATACGAACATCACCTTGATGGTCACCACACACTCGATGAGGACCACTCCGATAACGGAGAGAGGCTTCTTACAATGTGTGAAGAAAACGACCTGTTTTTCTCGAGCACCAACTTTGGGTATACGAAGAAACGTTCCGCAACTTGGCGTTTCCTTTCACCAACACAAACGTGGTTTCAAATTGATCACATTGCACTCAGCTTTAGATGATGTGGCAACGTGGGGGACTGCAGATATTTTTGGTCTACTTTCATTGATTCGGGTCATGCACTGGTCTGCGCGAAAATCTGCATGTGTTTTGGGGCTCCGCAAGATTGATGCGAACAGGTTAACCGATCTCTCGGTCCAGGCGCGCTATCAATCTTCACTGGCATGCGCATTCAGTTGCAATCCATCGCAAGACAGAACAACATTGGATTTGGATACAGGGGATGACCACTTCCGGACAATCAAGTTAAGGCCTAGCCCGACGCCACTCAAAGGTTTGAATCTTTACTCGCTCTCCAGAGCTGTTCCACCATCACAAAGATATCCAGGCAGAATTCTATTGCAAGGAATGGTGACTGTCTGTCGCCCGACTGCTCAAGCAAAACCTTCGCAAAGATCGTTAGGCTTTGTGGTTTGCGCGTGCTTTAAGGATGAGGTCGTTTGCGAGGCCGATGAGTCTCCGATTACCAACCAACAGAGGTGTTTGGACCGCTGAGCCGAGCACTCATTCGCAATTCAACTGGCCTCTACCGTTCGTCAATGCACGCAGTACGCCTTGTTGCCTACTCTGGCTCGTCCCACTGGACCCACCTAGCGAAGCGAAAGTTTGCCTCGAGATTCGACGCTTGAAGCGATTCAAGACTGCCGGTCCAGACTGACTTCCTCCGGTACGGCGGCGTGGCAATCATTAACCATCTGACCTCGTTGCTCGCCAAAATCTTGCATACAGAGAAAGTTAACTACTGCTTGCGGAGAATATTCTGTTCGATAATTCACTTCAGGCACCTACAATTATAAAACACAAGTGTTAGTTGAATAGGTTCGTGAAAGCGGAAGCATAGCATTATGCAGCGAACTTACAAAAAGGCAGTATAAAAGATCAACTGATGGTTTGTTGAATTGGACTAGGTCACATACGAAAACGCACGTGACCATGGCTGGGTAAGTAACGTTGAAAAGAGTTTAAGCAATGTTAAAAAGGGGGGGGTTAAAGGCCAAGGCGTAGTCAGAGTTTGTCCCAGCATTCGCTTTTTGCACAGACCTAGTTTCAGAATCCTAGTTGCAATGGCTTCGGCGATTACCATTAGCAGTTACTTTAAATTCCCTGGGTAGCGTCATGAAATGGAGTAGATGACTTTAAAAGCTTCATTCATATGCACTTGATGTCCATTTTCCACTTGCATTTGTAGTGCACGATATCTTGGACATACGACCTGGTTCTAGTTTAAACGGATCGCTGAGGCTTGTCCAGCTTCACTGCGAAAAGGCATAGTGAAACGCATCAACAGTTCCATTCTACATCTAGTGGATGCTGGGCATCAAGTGCAGATGAATGAAGCTTTTAAAGTCATCTATTCCATCCCAAGACGCTACCCAGAGAATTTAAAGTAACCGCTATTGGTAATCGCCGAGGCCATTGCATCTAGGGTTCTGAAACCAGATCTGTGCAAACAGCGAATGTTGGGACAAACCCTGACTTTGCTCTGGCCTTTAACCCCCCTTTTTAACATTGCTTAAACTCTTTTCAACACTACTTACCCAGCCATGGTCACATATGTTTTCGTATGTGACCTAGTCCAATTGAACCAACGATTGATTGATCTTCTATACTGCTTTTTTGTTAGTTAGCTGTCTAATGTTTTGCTTCCGCATTCATGACCATATTCAACTAACACTGATGTTTTATAATTGTAGGTGCCTGAAGTGAATTATCGAACAGAATATTCTCCGCAAGTAATTGTTAGCTTCTCAATCTATGGGGACAATTTATGAACTAAAGAGGACGTGCTTTCCTCTTGAGGCAAATTAGTTATCATCCCAGTTTTCAAGAAAGGGACTAGCACTTCATGTATCAATCATCGGGAGAGTAGTCTTATTTTGTTTGGTTCCAAGTTATTGGCATCAATTTTGCTTCAAAGACCATTCCCAATACGTGATTCATGCTACCTTGATGAATCAACTGATTTCCGTCCCGGTCCTGGCTGTATGGATCAAACTTTTACACTCAGCCAATTCCTTGAACATCGCCACATTTACCGCAAGCCCACCATTGTCGCATTCCTAGACATACTGGCTGCATTCGACTCGGTTGATCGACCTGCTTTATGGCGTTGCTTGCTGAAGAACAGCGTGCCAGAGAAATACATCGTCATCCTACGTGCACCTTCATATTTCCGGCAGAGTAAGGATTTGCGGCAAACTTTCCTCACCCTACTCACAGTAGCGATGTGCGACAGAGCTGCCTTATGTCCACACTTCTCTTCAGCTTCGCAATCGAGAAAGTCCAAAATTTTTGCCTAGAGCTTCTACCGGGTAAGCGCGCGCCCGATTTAGATTATGCTGATGATATCGCCTTACTTGGTGACGATCCACAGGGTATGCAACTCATTCTATATCGTTTGGCACTTGAAACATTTAACTATGTCATGAGCTTCGCCTCATCAAAGTGTAAAGTGTTACTCCAGGATTTGCCAACACCTGCTCCCGTGCTCACCTAGAAAAGTGCACAACTTGAACAGTTAGATAGTTTTGTCTATCCTGGGAGATGTTTTTCTCTTGGCGGCCCTGTCAGCAAGGAGGTTTCACTTCGCATCGCTAAGGCCCGCTCAGCATTTATCAATCTGAGGCACTTGTGGCGTCGTCTTGACGTCTCATTCTCGATAAACGACCGCGTTTATAGTGCCTCTTTTTGTTCGGTGTATTTGTATGGGAGCGGGTCCTGTGCAATTCGCGTGGAGGACGTGCGTCGTCTTTCCGCTTTCGACAACGGTTGCTTGTATGTGTGGTAGCAACATCGAATTCGCGGCGATGACGTTCGGCGTCACATCTTGGAGAATGCGAGTATTCCCTTCAACAAACTGGTTTTTCTGTGCCAATTGAGATGGCTTGGTCGCGTCCTACGCAGGGCGCCTGAGTGTTTGCCGCGCCACGCCCCAGGACCGGGCAGGAGGCGATCGCGTGGTGGTCAGCCATCCACCTGGCAAAAGCACGTGAAATCGTTGACTTCGCGTCTAGCCGCCATTGGACCGCTTCGTTCTCCAGGATGGAGACCCCAGAATGAAGTGCCAATGGCTTAACACGCTTGCGGACCGCACATAACTGGAGTCAATGGAAGAATTGTATGCAGAATTGTATTGCTTCATACTTTTAATGCATCGAACATTGAAGACGTCAAATAATTGGCGTGTGGTAAACTAAAATGTTTCGTTCTATCTTTTGGCAGATCATACTTTCCTTTGATTCCCATAGTTTTTTTAATCACTCCATGTCCATATCTTGGACTGCTGATGAAATATAATAATTCGCGGCTACATTCCAACAGAACTCTGGGCTTATGTTATAAGCAACCACTTATCGGGCAACACTGGTCTTCTTCTTTGGCGGTGTTAAATGTTTGTATTCTAGGTTAACAGGCTACATTTAAACATACACCGGGCACACTGAG